TTTTTTTTGGTGTGGTTTTTTATTTGTTTTGTTTTTTGGGATTTTTTGTGGGTTATTTTGGTTGGGTTTTTTTGGCCTTTTCTGTGCGGATTTTTTGGGGGGGCTTTTTTGTTCTTTTTGTTGTTTGGGGTTTTTTTGTTTTGTTTTTTGGAGTTTTTTTGTGTGTATGTATTTGGGGTTTTTTTCTTTTTTGAATCCTGGTTCTCTAAATTAGGTGGTTTACCATTATTGTCAATAGGGGCTTTCCCAATATGGAGGCGCTGTTCTGAGTGTTACCCATCACACAGCACCAGTTCACACACTGAAGCAAAGTGTTTCTATTTTTTTATTACTCTAGTTTGTGGAAAGTAAGGAGCTGGGTGGTAACCCATAAAAGGCTGGCTCACCATTCATCAAAGCTTTACACTGCTTATATCGACTTTAACAGACAAAGGCATATATTTTATTACATAATCTCTTTACTGATAAGCACTCAAGCCCCTATTTGCTAATTATTTCTCTCTTTTCTCATTCAAATTAGTCCTCATGTGCAGTTCTTCCCTCTGTTTGAGTCTGGAGTCTATTTTGAGTAGGTGGTGGATGGGCCAGTGGTCACAATCTCACTGTCAGAATTACCTTTCCTCCAGTTACTGCAATGCTCATAACTCAGTTACTGCAATGCTCATAACTGTACTGATTAACAACTCAAAAAAATTTCAATATTTTAATCAGTTATTCACTTCTTGGGAGGGACTTCATATCAGAGCAAGCATTTCTTTAGGGAAGAGCAAACCACTAGAAGTGGGGAGAAGGATAAAGATTTAATAGTTTGCTCACAGTTCTTCATCCCTTTGGCTCCTGAGATCACTCTGCTGCAGGTAGCACAGTCCTGGCAGAGAATACTCTGCCAAATCAGTCAATTTGGGAGAGTTTTGAGCCCTAAATGGGCAACTTTCTCCAAGAAAGGAGCTCCTATCAGTTTATTTTACCTACAATACCCTGACCTACAAACTGATAGATATAACTAGACATAGTTATAGACGTAGACATCTGATAAATAGATTTGATATCTAGAAAATATATCTTACCAATCATCATTAAATATGGGGTTAAAATGATATACAGTTCTCATAACTGGAGTTTTACACACTTCCCTCACTTCCCGTGTGGTGGTGTGGAACTTTCAGGATTTACCCTCTGGAGTCATAAGATGGCGCCAAAAAAAATCGGCAAAAAGGAAGTTTTGAACCTTGATGTTTGTTGAGAAATAAAAAAAAAAAAAACGCTGGAGAGGCTCAAAGTGCAAAGCAGATTGGACCAGAAGATATTTTTCAAAACTTCATCATTTTAAACTGATACTTTGTTGGGAATGAATTGCACAAAATCTGTTGAAAGAACGCTTGTGGTTTGAGTGGTTTTTTTTTTTTTTAAATATTGATCCATACTCTACACCTGTTGTAAAGTTTTTTTACACATATAAAAAATATTTTCAGCTGCAGTGTTCCTGCCCCTTAAGCCGGGAGGTGGCACTAGGGGAATAGCTATTCCTATGGATGGGCGTGTCTGAAAGCAGCAATGCCTTCCGACCGGGGACGGTGTTTTCGGTGTGACACATCGGCAGTGCACAGAGCTGTCTGTATTTGCAGACAAAACCGGTTGCAGCCTGGAAACTTGTCCTGTTTTTTCTTTTGGGAGTCTGATCTCGTATTATTATATCAGAGTAGGCAAGAGGGAACCGTGCAGGAGCAGTTGAGAGGGAAGAAGTGAAAAGGAGATTGTTGGGAATTACTGAACTTGGATGCCTAGAGGTAAAATTTAGCTATATTTGTCAGGTACAGCCTTCTGGAAAGTGCCTTCCTTAAGCTGGTGTGGGCTCCTAGGTAAGCCCAACACCTTGGTTATAGATCTCTTAGCAAGCAGGAGGCTGACAGGGAGATTTGCATTCCCAGGGGTGCCAGCTCAGCCAATTTAGCCTTGGTAGCTTTGCTGTAGCAACAAAATCTGGCAGGACATATCCCATCATATATGCACTGTAACAGAGCTGAGAGATGGTGGATCTTGTCCTAAGGCACTGAAAAGTAAACTTTTCCAGATTCAAGGATCCATTTCTGGAATCAGGGAATACCTTAAACAGACAGTGGCAATCAGATTGACACTTGGCATTCTGTGAGGAAGAAAGCTACAAAAAATAGGACATTAAGAACAACCTTTCCTCTTTTTAATGTGCTTGCAGAAAACAGAGTAGAAATAGATACTGCCACAGGACAGAGACTGCAAATGCATTGTTGCTCTTACAGATGCTGTTTCCTGTACAGCCCTGACCTGAGGACTTTGTGACATTTAGGCTTTGCTAGGAATTGGTTTGGTTGAGCAGTCTCTTTTCAGCCCCTCATTTATGGTTGTTTTTTTTCATTATTTCCAGTGTTAGTAAGTCATTGCTACAGCTGGAAAGGATTATCTTCAGTGTCTGCTTTGCTGTGAACCATGTCTAACATGTTTACTACAGTGAGTATCATTTAAAGCATTATCTTGCTGAAAAAAATGCACATGGCCTTGCTAACTACCAAATTAGCAAATAAAGAATTGTAGGTTACCTGGAGAGAAAGTGTTCCAAACCCTGTGGGTAAGACAGGTTGAAATGAAAATAGGGTTGGTTTTTGTCAAACTTAATGTTAATCTGAGCAACATGTATTCTCCAGACATGAAGACTGTACAAGTATATTCAGGTAAGAACAGCCATATTAAAAAAATATCTGTTTTTAAGAGAAGATAATTTTTGCAGTCTTTCATTTCCACTGCAAAGTAAAAGAACTTTTAAAGGAATTGAGCAAACAAGTCTCACTGTATGCTTTTTTTCTGTCAAATAATTCACCTGCAAGTTTCCATGTGTATCATTAGTCTATTATGTCTGCTGCAGCATCTGTTGCTGTGGAAGGGTGTTCTCCTCCAGGGATAGGCATGCTGGATTTCATTTTGATAACAGACAACATAATGTGAAAAACTACCAGTTAATGTAGCCCTTGGATGCAACTGTCCTAATTTTGCTCAGAGATTTTTGTCACGTGCTTGCCTTTGAATGATGTCTGCTATCTAAGGTACAGATCTGAAGTGGAATATTTGCTTATGGACATGTCCTTCTTGAAAGATCAGTCATTGTGGGCAGCTCCCTGACAGCTGCTGCCACCATGTCCCAGCCCTGGGGTGATTTCTGTCTCTGTATCTGCTCCAACAGCCTGGTCACCTGTGCTCCTCTCTTTTGCCACATGTGGTGGTGCCACTGTCTGTAAAGCCAAGCTGCAGGATATGAGCAGAGCCCCAGCAATGGCAGCACTGCCCCCTCTCACAAAGCACGTTATTTCCTTTTTAGACTTTCAGTCTGTGTCGTGAAGAGTGAATCCAACTGTTCATGTCCAGCATTCATGACATGAATAGCCTGGAGGTTTGGTTTCTGAGTAGGTTATTTAAAGCTGATGTGCTGTCTTTTCTCAAGAAGAATACAGTGCCAATTTAGCATGGGTGCCCATCAGGGGACCTCCATGTTCTTCATCCAACTTTTCTTTTTTGGCATTATAGTGCAAGGAGAGCTGGAATGAGATGCAGATCTCTCAGCTTACTTCTGCCTTGACACATGACTCTCCTTAGTGTGCTTTCATGGGGTCACACCATGTCAGTCATGTGGGCATGGGCCCCTGGTGACCAGCTCTCATTCCTCCATCCTGGCTGAGCTCCACCACACTGCTCTCACTCTCTGACCACATGTGGCACACAGACACACAGCTGGAGGGAGAGCCACACACCAGGGAGATCCCACAGCCCTGCAAGGCCTGGGTGTGAGCTCCACAACCAGCTGGGAATCAGCAGGAAGAGGCACATGGGAGTCTCATGAGCTGGGAATGAGACTTGGCAGGTCTGAAGGTGCTGTTGGCAGGGGATATCTCACCTGGATTTTGTTGTCCTTGGGTCTTCCAACATGAAACCTCAAACTAATGTGTTTAAAAAGTTGGTAATCTAGGGTGCTGTCCTGAAGGCTGTGCAGGCATCTCTTTGTCTGCTAGTT